TTGTGTGTGTGTGTGTGTGTGTGTGTGTGTAGTATGACCACCACAGAGTATCCATGCTGGCTAATCGTCTGATCCATAAAATCATGTCCGAGCTTCCGGATGTGATCATGAATGGAGATGCAGAACAACGCTACCCCGGTAAACACACAGAAGTGAAACTCTTGCACAAAAACGCACCACTGTGACATGCTTGAATTTCAGAATACATGAGTTTGAAAGTGCTTGAACCAAAAGTCAGACGTTATGTCGACAAAAATGTTCTTATTACAGTAGTCAAGCGACATGACTGTTTCTGACTGTTTGTCTTTGTGTTTCAGGCTGTGTTAACCTGTCCTTTGCCTATGTGGAGGGAGAGAGTCTTCTGATGGCGCTGAAGGATATCGCTCTGTCTTCTGGGAGGTCAGACACACACTTTATATAATAAAAAGATTCTTAGAAATGTAACTTTACCCGTTTTTGGATGCTTATGCATGTGTGCATAATTATTGTCCCATCAAAAGCTGCCATGATTAATTAACCAATTGATTAGTCAATCAACAAATACAAATTGTATTAATCAGACACATTTTATTAAAATGTATGCAACAATGGCAGATAATGTAATTTTGTTGCCACTAAAACAATGTATTTTGGTAAGAAACACAATTGTTGACCAGTGAAACTCCATAGTACAAAGTGAAAACACATATAAAAAAATGAATGATTGTTTGTGTTCTCACAGCGCCTGTACGTCAGCGTCTCTGGAGCCGTCGTACGTCCTCAGAGCGATCGGAACTGATGAAGAACTCGCCCACTCCTCCATCAGGTACAAAGGCTGACATCATCACCGTATTATGTATTGCCAGAAGAAATATAATTGAGTAAAAATGTAGAGTAAAAAAATCTTAATCCTAAAAAATTATCCTGTTCATAATTCCAAATCTTTGTTTTGTGGATTTTTTTTTTGGAAAAACAGAGATTTATGGACAAAAATGCATTTTTATTTTAATCTCAAAGACTAAAAAATCTGTCTGAACATCAGCAATTAAAGGTGATTGTCTGTTCTTTGGTTTCACTTCAAATTAGTGATTTGGAGGTTAATGTAAACGTGTGTGTGTGTGTTAGGTTTGGTATTGGCAGGTTCACCACAGAAGAAGAGGTGGACTACACAGCGAAGAAATGTATTCACCAGGTCAACAGGCTCAGAGAGATGAGGTGAGTTCAACTGCATCTGTGTTTTTTTCTAACACAGATTATTCCGCTAGTTCGGTCATCATCGATTCAATCGGTAAAAATAACTCACCAAAGTTATATCCAATAAAAGGTTCACAGTCAGTCAAAAGAAGACTAACGAAAGAAACATGAGCAGTCAAACTATCTCACTGGTTAGTGTGGAGGGAAACTGATAAATGATTCATGGTCAAAGTTTGTCTTTTGTTATATTTAATAAAGAAAGTCAATATCCAAGTGAAATAGATCTCAAATGCTGGAACAGAGTAACATCATCATCCTCAGAGGATAAAGAAGTTCTGCACCCCGAACACAGCTTACAGTCCCACTATATACTCATGAAAGGAAACAGCCAACTGGTCCTACATCCCATCATTAAACCATAAAACCCCCTTGTCCTTAACCATTTTCAAATCCACCTTTCACACTTCCTTTTGCCCTCCTGAAATTTAAATTCTTAACACATGTCTCTGTTAAACACAAACAAGACTAAACCGAAAGAGTGGCAGACCGGGGTGGTGGTTCCCATTTTACTCTAAGGTACTCGAAAAGAGGGTCAGGCCGATTGTCGATCCTCAGATTGAGGAGGAACAATGCGGATTCCGACCTGGTCGTGGAACGACTGATCGTCTTTTTACTCTTGCAAGGATCCTGGAGGGGGCCTGGGAGTACGCTTCTCCGGTCTACATGTGTTTTGTAGACTTGGAGAAGGCGTTTGATCGGGTTCCCAGGGAGTTACTATGGGAGGTGATGCAGGAGTATGGGGTGAGGGGGTCTCTATTCAGGGCCATCCAATCTCTGTACTCCCAAAGCGAGAGCGGTTTGGCAGGGTTGGCCTCCGGCAGGGCTGCGCTTTGTCACTAATCCTGTTTGTAATATACATGGATCGGATTTCGAGGCGTAGTCGTGGGGGAGGGGGTCTGCAGTTCGGTGGACTAAGGATTGCACCACTGCTTTTTGCAGATGATGTGGTTCTAATGGCTTCATCGGTCTGCGACCTTCAGCACTCACTGGATCGGTTCGCAACCGAGTGTGAAGCGGCTGGGATGAGGATCAGCACCTCCAAATCTGAGGCCATGGTTCTCAGCAGGAAACCGATGGACTGTCCACTCCAAGTAGGGAATGAGTCCTTACCCCAAGTGAAGGAGTTCAAGTATCTCGGGGTCTTGTTCTCGAGTGAGGGAACAATGGAGCGTGAGACGGGCCGGAGAATCGGAGCAGCGGGAGCGGTACTGCAGTCGCTTTACCGCACCGTTGTGACGAAAAGAGAGCTGAGCCAGAAGGTAAAGCTCTCTGTCTTCCGGGCCATTTTCGTTCCTACCCTCACCTATGGTCATGAAGGATGGGTCATCACCGAAAGAACGAGATCGCGGATACAAGCGGCCGAGATGGGTTTTCTCCGCAGGGTGGCGTCTCCCTTAAGCCCCTGTCACACTGTCCCGAAATTGACACCCGATGGACACACGAATATGAAATTGTGAATTTCGCACGAAGATGGCCCTGAACCACACACGAAGGCAACATTTACATTACATTTAAGACATACAACTGAAAGTAACAAAAACGATTATGTTAAAGTACTATGATACTGTACTGATATTTTCAAACTTTGTTCTTTACTTTATCCGTCTTTACAGTGGGGCAAAAAATTATTTAGTCAGCCACCAATTGTGCAAGTTCTCCCACTTAAAAAGATGAGAGAGGCCTGTAATTTTCATCCAAGGTATACCTCAACTATGAGAGACAAAATGAGAAAAGAAAATCCAGAAAATCACATTCTCTTATTTTTAAAGAATTTATTTGCAAATTATGGTGGAAAATAAGTATTTGGTCAATAACAAAAGTTCATCTCATACCCTTTGTTGGCAATGACAGAGGTCAAACGTTTGTTGTAAGTCTTCACAAGGTTTTCACACACTGTTGCTGGTATTTTGGCCCATTCCTCCATGCAGATCTCCTCTAGAGCAGTGATGTTTTTGGGCTGTCGCTGGGCAACACGGACTTTTGAACTCCCTCCAAAGATTTTCTATGGGGTTGAGATCTGGACACTGGCTAGGCCACTCCAGGACCTTGAAATGCTTCTTACGAAGCCACTCCTTTGTTGCCCGGGCGGTGTGTTTGGGATCATTGTCATGCTGAAAGACCCAGCCACGTTTCAGCTTCAATGCCCTTGCTGATGGAAGGAGGTTGTCACTCAAAATCTCACAATACATGGCCCCATTCATTCTTTCCTTTACACGGAT